GGGTTTAGATCTATGTTCATACGGTTGCTATGAGTAGTACTTGATGGCACTTCATGACAACAACTGTATACATTACTAAACAATAGCATTAATATCACATTGCAAGTAAAATTTTGTGGAAGACAATTATTTGATTATTGGAGTAGCTCAATGAGAGGCAACTACTCAGAATTTAAGCTGGATTTAGAAGAGGAGTTAGAATGAAGGCTATCATGTGGCTCTTGGCTAAAAGGAAAGAATACCAGGAAAGTGTTTGCTTGTGTTTTATTGACTATGCAAAGGCATCTTATTATGTGAATCATTATACATTATAGATAATACTTTAGACAAATAGGAAATCCAGAACACTTCGTTGTGCTCATACAGAACCTGTATATAGATCAAGAAGCAGTATTTTGAACAGAAGGGAATATTGAGTGACAGAAAAAGTGTGCATTAAGGTTATAGCCTTTTCACCATTTAATCTGTATGCTGAGCAAATAGTTTGAGGTGGTGGACTATATTAAAAAGAATGTGGCATCAGGATTAGAAGACCCATCAACAACCCGAGATATGCATATGCCAGTCACAATCTTGCTTGAGGTAAATAAAGAGGTCTGAAAGTACTTGCTGAAGAAGGTCAGTGACTATAGTTTTAAGTATGGGGTACATGTCAACATAAAGAAAAATCCTCACAACAAGAAATTTCATGATAAATGGAGAAAAGATTGAAGTTGCCAGTGAATTCATTTTTGTTGGATCTACAATCAATTCTCATGGAAGCTTGGTTGTGGAAGCTCCTGGAAGAGATGAAATGATGTATTGCATTGGACAAATGCTGTCAAGGACCTCTTTAAAGAGCTGAAGAGCAAGGATGCCACTTTAAAAATTAAGGTGTTCCTTCCTCAAGTCACAATATCATCAAGTGCCTTATATGCATGTGAAAGGTAGACAATGAATAAGGAAAACCAAAGAAGAATTTGATGTCTTTGAATTGTAATGTTGGAGAAAAATATTGGATATACCATAGATTGTCAAAAGAACAAACTGATCTATCTTGGAAGTGTTCCTTAGAAGCAAGGATCATGAGACTTTGTCTCACGTGCTTTGGGCATATTATCAGGAAGGGTCAGTCCCTAGAAAAGGACATGATCCTTGGAAAAGTAGTGGGTGAGTGAATGAGAGGAAGTCCCTCAGCAAAATGGATTGACACAGTGACTGCAACAACGAATAGGAGGGATTGTAAAGATGAGGCTGAATCAGGCAATGTTTTGATTTTTTTCTTTTTGAGCTGACAGGACAGCAGGGAACAAAAGCAGCAGCAACAACAAAGGGCACCTTAGATCTGTACCCTAGGATGTCTAAGGCTGTACGTCTTGAGAGAGACATATTGACACGTCTTTCTGCCATCAGTTACTATGGTTAATAATGGAATGCTTAACCACTATGGCACCACAGCTCTTTAATAAAGATTCTAGAATAGGCAACTATGGAGCAGTTATATACTCTGTCATACAGGGTCAGTACGACTCCAAATCAACTTCATGGCAAATAGAACACACAGAACCCATGACAGCCACTAGGACAGTAGGACAAAGTTCAGGTGAGGGAATTCTCTTTCCTTTGCTGGGGTTGACACAGTGACTGCAGCAATGGGCTCAAGTGTGTCAGAGATGATGACGATGGCACAGGATAGGCAGAGTTCAGATCTGTTGTGTTTATGGTCACTATGAGTTGTAGTCGACTTGACAGCACCCAACAACATCTCGCTGAATTGCTGCTTCTTCCCTGCCACATGGTAGTGACTCACTGAGCTTCTCAGGTATTGGCTTCCCCATTGATCCACAGTGGTGTCAGGGTTGGAGTGCTCTGCCCTCAGTGAAGAGGACTGACTACTCAGTTCCTGAGCCTGGACATCCTTCCCCTTCTTACTGTCTGTAAGGAAGTGGGGTCTGCATCAAAGCTTGGTTTAGGTTAGAGACTCTTGGTTAGTGAGTCTATGTCCTTTATTGTCCTGGACAAATGAATTTCTTATCCAACAGTTTGTATACTTTTACTTCATGACACTACTGGTTACAGTTCCCTCGATGTAACCATACTCTGCCAGTTCCTTGCTGCTCTCTGCACTTTGCTCTTGAGCAAATGCCACCCTCATAGTTTCACATGGCTGACCATTTGGAGAAGCAGATTGCTCAGGGTGTCATTTTCCATACTACTGCCCATGTGTCACTTGGCTGATGCCCAGGGGGAGAGATCAGCTCGAAGTTTGAAGGGTGTCTACAGGCTATAGTCTCAGGAGTCCATTCAGTTTCTACATGCCAGTAAGTCTGGTCTCTTTTAGGGTTTTGAATTTTGTTCTAAGTTTCCCTTCCACAATGTCTCGGGCCTTTGACTAGATACTCATCACTTGATTGGTAGCAGTTTCGTTCTTTTGGTTTCTTGCTGCTGGGGGCAGTGGTAGGGAGCCCTGGCGGCCAAATGGTAAGAAATTATGTTGCAATCCCAAAGGCACACAGTTCAAATCCACAAGCTTCTCAGAAGGAGAAGCATGGGCAACCTCCTCCTGTGTGATTTACTGCCTCCAAAAACCTGTTGGAGGGCCAGCTCTGGGTTGGTTCTGACTCGATGGCGCAACAACAGGGACTGTGGCTATGTGCTCTGTTTGTCTTTTGGAAGAATTGTTTCCTTGAGTCTTTGATTTTCTTCATTCTTCTTCCTTTTGTGTAGAAAGAGACTTATCATTGTATTTCAGATGGCTATTTGCAAGCTTTTAGGACGCCAGCTGCTACCCACCAAAATAGGATATAGAACATTGTCTTCAGGGACTGTGTTATGTCATCGGAGACTGTGGTCCTAAGACCTTTGTTTCAGTGTTTCTTCGAAAGGTTTTCCCTGTTTTTTAAATGGATTGTTTGCTTTGTTATGTACTGTTGAGTTGCCTGCAACCCATAATGACCCTATGTACAACAACTCTGAACCCAGCCCTGTCCTGAGCCAGTCTCACTAATTCCAACAAACCAACCTGCATTGCCCAATCACTGTATCAATCCATCTCATCCAGGGTCTTCTTATCCTGTACTGTCCTTCCACCCTTCTGAGCATAATGTCCTTCTCCAAGAATTGGTCCCTCCTGGCCCATGTGCCTGAAGTATGTGAGATGGGATTTCAAAATTCTAGCCTCCGAGGAGATACTTGGTTTTACCCTCTCCAAGATAGACCACCTATTTTTTTTGTGTGTGTGTCCATGGTTCAAGACTCTTCTCCAGCACTACAACTCAAAGGCATCAATTCTTTTTCTGTCTTCCTTAGTGTTTATCCAGCTTTCTGATGCATAGCAAGTCATTGCAAAGACCATGGACTGGATCAGGTTCTCCTTAGTCTCTAGACTGACATCATTGCTTTCCAGTATTCTGGAGAGGTCCCTGACAGCAGATTTTCCTAATGCAATTCTTTTTAATGGTAGTTGATTCTTTTATGAACTGTTGTTGTTATTGTTGTTTTGTGCCTTAGAGTCAGAATCAAGTCAGTTGACCCTCTAGCAGGTTTCCAGAGGCAGCAAATCACTTGGGAGGAGGCTTCTCAGCCTTCTCCTGTGGAGCAGCTAGCAGATTCAAACAATGAGCCTTTGGGATTGCAGCGCAGCTCCTTACCACAAGGCCACCAGGATGTGCTAAGGCTTTTCCTATTTTTTTTTTTTAATTACTGTTGCTATGTGCTATCAGAACTGACTGATAGATGACCCTCTAGAGGGTTTTCAGTGGCTATAAATCCAATGTGATGAGATTGCCCATCTTTCCCTCTCAGAGCAAATACTGGATTAGAACTCCATGCCTTTGGGTTGACAGCACAACTCCTTACCACCAGGCCACCTGGAAATTTCCTAGCAAAGATGTAGATTAAAAAATGCTTCTATTGAGGTATAACTTAGATTTAATAAAATGCAAAATGTATAGGTGTATATAGTTTAATTTTCCCATACACATGACTAGAAAGAATAAGATATAGTACATTTCTAGGACCCCAAAAATTATCTCCTGTCCACTCCTAGTCATTATCCTGCAAAGAAACTACCTCTAATATCCCAAATTAATTTTGCAGATTCTATTCTTGAACTTCACGAAAATGAAGCTCAAGAGCATGCTTTCTTCTGTGTGTGGCTTCCTTCACTTAACACGAAAGAGATTTCCCTTCCACCTTTATTTGTCTTTTTCCTTTACAGAATGCTACAATGAGATAACAGGAGTGTAATTTAGCTTATTATTATCACCTTTCCCACCCACAAATAATTTCCTTAAAAAGATTATTGATACCTGCCAATCACAAGAAATTCATAAATATAGGGTATTATTTTTTTTCCACAAAGAGAAAAAGTAGAATTTTAAAAATCAGTAACTACATAAAGAGTATAATCTCATTTATAAGTAGTGGGGTCTCATAAAGCTGCACTGGGCTTCAAAGTCTGCCAATCACAAGAAATTCATAAATATAGGGTGTTATTTTTTTTCCACAAAGAGAAAAAGTAGAATTTTAAAAATCAGTAACTACATAAAGAGTAGAATCTCATTTATAAGTAGTGGGGTCTCATAAAGCTGTACTGGGCTTCAAAGTTCCAAGATCTGACCTCCTCTTGGCCCTCAGTATCACCCTCCCAGTCCCAGGGGGTCCACACAGCCTGGACCCTACTGCCAAGGCCAGAGGCACCCCTCACTAGGGCAAGGACTAACTAGACAGACATCCTTAAGACCCTGCTCAGGTGACACCGGGGACAGAAACTGAAAGATTTCCCTGGGCTTGGAAGAGTCCCTCTGGCTACAGACATTCCAGAAGAGTTTCAGCAGCCCAAGCTGGGAGGGGCGCCGTGGGGGCTGGAGCGAGCGAGGTGGAGGGAGGCTGAACGTCTCATGGCTCTTTGCCTAGCCTTGAGCTAGTGTTATAAGCTTGGCCCAGGGGCTCCAGGGCCAGAGTCCGTCCCCACAGGTCCTGCTGCAGTGGATCAGGCCAGTTGCAGTTGTGAGGACAGTATGCTGGCCAGGGGACTCCCTCCACGCTCCATCCTGGTTAAAGGCTGCCTGCCCCTCCTGAGTGTCCTGCGGGAGAGCTCTGGGCAGCCCAGGGTGTCTGCTGGAGAAAGCGCTAGCAGCGTCTGCACCCGTAGCCCTCGCCCCTATCATGAGGTCCCTTCCCCTGGTAACAATGGCTGGCTGAACCTGTATCATTCCTGGAAGGAGACGGGCATGCATGGACTCCACTATCGCAACATCCAGAATTTTCGGAAGTTTGGCCCCATTTACAGGTATGACTGGCAGAAGGTGAGGCCTGAGGAATTGGCCGGGAAGGGCTCGGGTAGCTCTGCTGTGTTACCTGCTCCTCAAATGGTTAGTTTTCCCCGAATCCAGGCTCTTTGTCCTCCTGACTTCATCTCTTCCAGACCTGGGGAAGGTCACAGGAGGAGTGAAAGGATTCTCAGACTGTAGGGTCAGTTGCCAGCCCTTCCTCCCACCCCCATGTCCTAAACCCTTGTCACTTTTTGGAGGTGATAAGAGAAAAGGAACTACTCATCCTCAGGACACCTTGAACTATTTCCATTGTCAGAAGACTAAGATGCAGAGAGGTGAGGACTCTTACTGCAGTCATAGCTAGAGCTCCGTGCTGCTAGGGTACTAACCTCCCCACCCCTGTTGCCTCCCGTCCTCCCAGCCCCAATTAGTCTCACTGAGACTTCAGGATCTGCTTGGGGGAAGGGTTTGATCTCTTCCCCAAGAATCTACCTTGTTTCCCCACTTTTGTCTCTTGGTCTCTTAACTCCAGAGCCTGGAGTGTTCTGGGTGGAAGGTCTCACTCCTTATTTTAGCAGTTTTAAAGGTGGCTTTCCTCCATGCCACACGTGGGTTATATTCTGAGGCTCTCACTGAGAGGGTGGGAGGTGGTAGGGGAGATGACGATGAGGGTGGATTATGCCGGGAAAACATTTGGAAGAGTTGGAGACAAGGCACAGATACGTGTGTGAGATGGCTCGGTGGGTTGGGCTGGGAGGCAGTTTGCGTGTGTTGAGTCTGACTGATAACTCCTCAGGGTCATATCCTTCCCCTACAATCTCCTTTGGAGTCTCAACTGGAGTCTTTTACAACTGGGACGGAGGTGAGGGTGAGGGTGAAGGAGCTGATGGGGACAGAGAATGAGAGGGGCTGGGGCTGGAGACGGCTGAGTGCTTGGTCCCTGCATTTCTCCCTTCTCCTCTCCCCGCCTCTCCCAGGTCTGCCAGCCCCAGCCTCCCTTCTTAATGGCCTCCCCTCTGTCCCCTCTTTCTCCTCTCATCTTCTGTTCCTGTTCTTATTTCCTCCCCCTAAATAGGGACATGAAGATTTGTCCTTTCATCTAACCCCTTTCTGTCTTCCGAGTCGCCCTCCTCTGAGCCTTGCAACATGTCCTTGAGTCGGGTGTTCTTACTCCCATCTTAACCGTTTGCTGTGGAGTTGACATCATCTCACAGCAACCCATGTGTGTCAGAGAAAAACTGCTCCACAGCTGGGTGTTCAAGGGCTGACTTTTCAGGTGAGATTGCCAGGCCTTTCTTCTGAGGTGCCTCCAGACAGACTTCAGAGGCCAAGCTTTTGCTTTGTAGTTGCACATACCAAGTGTTTGCGCTGCCCAGGTAGGGTGCAAAGGTGGCCTTGGCGCAGGAAGTTGCCCTGCTATCTCAAAGGCTGGATTCTCTGGAGGTTTGAATCTACCAGCAGCTCCATGGGAGAGATGGGTGATCACAGCCTCCTGACAGCCTGCTGGAGGGTCAACCTCGATTTATTTGTTTTGAGGGACTCCAATTCCCATATCTCCATCTTACAGATGGGGAAACTGAGGCCCAGAGAGGAGAAGGATCTTACCAAGATTGTGTAGCCTAGCAGGAAAAACTCAGAGCCAGAACCCAAATTTCCAAATTATTTGACTTTTAGATGATGCTCATCATAATACTGTAGCTTCTAGCTTGGAAAATTATAAACATTTGGATGAGAAGTTTAAGTACAACCTTTGTGGGATTTTTTCCCCCTTGAGTGAAAGAGCTGTTCTTGTTCTTACAGAACAATTTAGAAGATATAGACAAACACAAATGAAAACTTGGAATCAAGTACAATCTCTGCTTAATGCTAATATTAACATACTGTGGAAGAATGTGAGCATGTTATATATGCTGTTTGGTGATATTCCATAATCTGCCAAGAAATTATTTTCTTTCCCTCTTACAGAAACTTAAAAGGAAGGCGAGGATTCCACAGTGGCCCAATCTGTCCTTGAAAGCCAGTGTCTCATCCACTTTCATTTTTCGCTATCAGACTCTATGCTGGGACAAACATTTTCCTTTCTCAAGGGATTTTGTGCAATCGTTTTCTGGGACTAGGTTTCTGGAGGTGAAGTTGATCATAATGGTAGAGGTTCAAGAATTTTGCTGAGCCGTCATAGAGTGGGAGGTGGAATAGAGCACCTGTGAGTCAGGTGAGGTCATGTGGTGATTGGAAAATTGCTGGGGGCACTTTCTAGAGGTCTTGGAAATAAGAAAGCCTGAGGGGTTTGGAAAGGCAGGCCAAGGTTTTAGGATAATAACACAGCTTCCTTTCTTTTTATTTGGGACACATATTTGGCTTATTATAGCTACATACTTATACATCTTACTATTTTGCCTTAAAACACATCTTGAATTATCTTTCTTATCATGGTGTTGTTGGAGAAGCGGACTGAATATCTCATGGGCTGACAATGGAACAAACAAGTGTGTCCTGGGGGTTGGGGTCAACTAGAGCACTCCTTTGAGGTCAGGATTGTGAAACTTCATCTCACATGCTTTGAGCATGTGATTAGGAGAGGACAGTCCTTGGGAAAAGACACTAGACCCTTGGAAAAAGTGACAGATCAGGGAAAAAAGAGGAAGAGTCTTAACAAGATGGATTGACACAGTACCTGTAACAGTGGGCTTGAGTATATTAGATGATGAGGACGGTGTGGGTGAGGACAAGGTTCAGATCCGTTGTTTGTAGGATCGTAAGGAGTCATGGTTGACTCGAGGCGCCTAACAACAACATGCGTAATGGATGCAAGTAGATGTTCTGTAGTCGCACTAACATTTTTATGTTTTAATAGAGCCTGTCTGCCAAACATTTTGTCTATTCTTGTGGTCAGATGTCCTGTCACTGTCTCCTGTTAACAGAGACAATGTGCTTTACTTGGGGCCTGGCTCTTGGGGGCAGGGCAGCTGCTCTTAGAGTTTCAGTCCAAGAGGCTAGAAAGGTTTGGCTGGGCCAGCTGACAGCTTGCCTGATGAGCAACAACCAACTTGAGCTGGCTGGTGTCCTTCCATGGGGCATGGAGACGTGTCACGTGGCACAGGCTTCTGGGCACTATAGGGGTTGGGGGTGGGGGTGCTAAGGGTGAGGACTGAGGATGAATGGGTGTAGGATGGAGTTCTGGAAGGCCTGTGGAAGGCTCTTGAGTGAGGCTAATCCTGCAATAGTCCTCACAAGGAGGATAATTCAGCTGTTATTTATAGAGCTTTTGAAGAAATATCACATCTCTAGACTCCATATCCTGTCTTTCAGCTACTTGGTGTGGTAGACTCTATCATTTTCCCTCCATGTTATAGGTAAGGAAATAAAGATTCAGAGAAGTTAAGTATCTTTCCTAAGGTCACACAGCAAGTAAATTGTGAACACACAGCAAGCAAACTGTGAACTAGGATCCAGACGTTAGTTCTGATTTGAGCAAGCACCTTTATTAACATCATGCTGAGATCTCCACAGCTCCCCTCGGGTCTTAGATCATGACTCTTCTCCCCTGACTCTCTAGGGAGAAGCTTGGAAACATAGACTCGGTCTTCATCATCGACCCTGAAGATGTGGCAGTTCTCTTTAAGTCTGAGGGTCCTAGCCCAGAACGCTACCTCGTCCCACCTTGGGTTGCCTATCACCAATATTACAAGAAACCCATTGGAGTCTTGTTCAAGTGAGTTCCGGGTCATTTCCCAGGGTATGGATGGAGATGAGGGGAGGGCTGATACTGAGGGTGTGAGGCGGGGTCCAGGCTTACCCCTGGCCTTTCTGAGTGGGGCCTCTATCAGCTTCTGGTTACACAAAACATCGATAGAGATGATGACTTGCCTCCAACAGATAGGAACTTGGGGACACTGAAGATCTGACTGGGCAATTAATGACCATGCAAAGTTTTCACTTATTGATTCATAGATTAACTTTCACTTTATTGAAAACCTGTTATGTGCCAGGTACTGATTGTACCAGAGCTGGAGGTACAAGTAGGGCAGGGCGCTCTGCTCTCTTGTATCCTTCACAGTCCAACGAGGCAGGAAAAGCGTGGACAAATCAGTGTGTGTAAGCAAAGTCAAACCATATTTCCCTGAATTGCTCTTCAGCATTTTAAAATATAACCACATCAAGTGTTAGAATTCTGTGGAGCAAGTGGAATTCTCAGACATCACCACGACTATGTGTGCCGTTTCTGACAGAGTAGACCTGTGCTCCACAGGCTTTTCAAGGACTGATTTTTTTTTTGGCAGCAGAATGCCAGACCTTTCTTCTGAGGTACCTTTGGGTAGGCTCAAACTTCCAGCCTTGTAATTAGTATCTGAGTGTGTTAAATTTTTGTACTTACATGGAGGATGGGAGCTCTGGTGTAGAATGTAGTCCATAGGATGTTATGTTGGTAACCTAAAGGCCTCTCTGGTGGTTCGAATCCCCCAGTGGCTCTGAAGGAAGAGGATGGGACATCTCCTGTGGGATTTACAGCTTCAGAAGCCCAACGGAGGGTCAGCCATGAGTTGGTTCAGACTCAGTGATAATAGGTTGGTTTGGTTGTTGTTTGTTTTTCCTTTTTTCTCCTCTCTTTTTTTTACTACCCAGGGATTCTCATCCAATACTAGTGGGCACATAAACATTATTTCCTAAAGTCCCACATTCTGATGACCCAGCAGGTCTTTCTCAGAGGACAGACTCTTGTATATGCGTCCCAGGGCACACATGCTAGGATATTTGCAGGAATGCTGGTCATTTTAACAAAGCCAGAGAAAAACAGAAATGCTCCACTGGAGGATAAATGAATGAACCATGATACACATCCATTAAAATGAACAGACTCAGTGTCCCACAACCACAAGGATGATACCTAGAAAATTATGTGAAAAAAGGAAGCCCTAGCAGCACAACAGGTTCTGAAAGAAGTAAAAAAAAAAACCAAGTAAACAAGCATGCCTCGTTTTACTGTGCTCTATCTCAGTGCATATCACAGGTATTGTCATTTTCTTACAGACTGAAGGTCTGTGACAACCCTGAGTGGAGCAGGTCTCCTGGAGCCATTTTCGCCACAGTATCTGTGCCACATTTTTGTAGTTCTTGCAGTGATTCAGGAGTGTCCCCCTGATATTGTTGAACACTTAATTGACTACCTAACTTCTGTATGCACTATGAAATGGAAAAATTTTGTTGGACTTGCTTATTTGTGGGATCTGGAACTGAACCATAACGTCTTGGAAATATGCCTGCCCTTCTTCCGCCTTCCTTTTTTTAAAAAAATAATTACACTTTAGGAACATATTATTTTTAGAAAGAAAAATGCATCTAATAATACCTTCCATGAAAAAAAGCAAGGGATTCAGGTGGCAGTCTTAGATGAGGGAGGACCAGATAGGCAGGTGGAAGGGACTGTCAAACTCCTAATTTTCCCATTAGGTGGAAAATCTAGAATAAAGTTTTTATAATAAACAATGACAATAGAAACAGTGAAAGGGGCTTTGTAGGGGTAGTGGACAGTGACAATGAACTCCATTCTGAATACTTGAGAGCCTCCCACCGGTGAGCAGCATGACGTGTAGGATGCAGAAGAAGAGAGGTGGCGGGGAAAAGGAGACTTTGAATAGCAAGCAGTGAACATAGACCTGAGGGAAAGGAAATAATGTAGAAGGCAAGCCAGGCAGCTGGGGCAAAGACTGATAATATAGTCAAGGCCTTGACTAGAAAGTGAATATAAGATGAGTTCTTAGCCCAGAGCAGCAGCGAAGTGGCAGGAGTGCAGAATCTTGTTCCCTTTCCTTCTTTCTCTTCCTGTCTCCTCTCCCAGGCTGGGCAGGAACAGGGAGGAGGCGACAGGCCAAGGGCTTTGGGGGCAAGGACCCTGGTGTGGTATGAGTGTTGCTTGCTCAGCCTTGGAATCCTGGGAGAGTCCCCTCTTTGCTTGTCAGGCCTGGGGTCCGTGGCCATGAGAGCTTGAGTGTTCATGTCTTCTCAGGAAATCCACAGACTGGAAGAAAGACCGGCTAGCCCTGAACCAGGAGCTGATGGCTCTGGATACCATGAAGAACTTCCTGCCCCTGCTGGATGTGGTGTCTCAGGACTTCATCAGCCTCTTACACAGGCGTATCAATCAACAGGGATCCAATATGTACTCAGGGGACATCAGTGATGACCTCTTCCGCTTCGCCTTTGAGTGTAAGGGGCTTGCATCCAGCAGGCAGAAGACGGTTGGATGTTGGGGGTGGGAAGGCTCAGCAACCACTCTCCCAATTTGAGACCCACCACACACCTTATAGAAGTGTTGGTGTTGGCTTCTGTGATGCTTTTCTAAATACATCCTCCACCATCAGCTACTTGAAGGGAGCTCAGACCCTCTCACTTAGCATCCATGCTGAGAAGATAAGGGTCTCCAAAGCATAGGTCTCATTGCCAACATCCTTCAAAAGCCAGAGTTTGCCTTAGGTCTTCAGTCAGCAAGTATCTTTTTCCTCACATACAGACCAAGGAGCTCTTTGTGGAGTAGTCTGCAGGGAGTTGTACTGGTAATCCAAAGGTGCCTCTCTGGTATTCAAATCCACCAGTGGCTCTTCAGGCAATCTCCTTCTTTCATTTACAGCCTCTGAAAAGCCTCTAAATGGTCAGCTTTGAGTCAATTCTGACTTGATAGCAATGAGCTTGAGGGTTTCAGAGAATATAGACCTTTGAGTTCTGGGGTGGGAAGGGAGGTGTGGATGGTTAATCTGAATAGGGTATTGAAGGATGTATAGGAGTTCTTTGGGTGACATAAAGAGGTCAAGTAATGTAGTCAGAGGAACAGCAGGTGCAGAGGACTGTGGCTTGGTAAGGAGGGTCATTGGAGGTGATCCAGGTGCTTGAAACTTGGTATGAAATCAAGACTCCACTTCTGGGTCTGGAATTTGGTAAAATCTTAGACTTGTGAGGTCTTAGACCCAATCAGATTGAATCCTAGATGTTCAATTACCCAAGGATTTTTGTTTCCTGGAACTCCGTGTGACCTGGATGTAGCCAATGCAGTCACAGAGAGGAATCTCTCCTCCCAGGAAGGAAATACAGAGGCTGCTTGGGGGTCCTGCTGAGGACATGGGGGCAGTGGCTTTCTCCCGGCCTGGGCTGTCTTCTAGCTCTACTAGAAACCCTAATTCACCCCAAAGGAACCCCCTCTCAGGGTTTTCCACACACCCCTCTCGTGGTCGTCAGAGAGGCAGCTTGCCTCCACCCTGCCTTTGAGATTTAAGCATCAGCCTTTTGATGGAAGAAGGCTGAGGTCTGGTGCAGGAGATGGTGTGAGCTGTGTGGTTTGCGTCTGCATGCTCTGCGAGTTGAAGGCTTTGTGTGTATTTTGCATGGACATGCTGGCAGCCGGGAATTTTCTGGGTGTTGGGGCTTAGCCTTTGCTTCCCTCCACAGCCATCACCCACGTCATATTTGGGGAGCGCCTAGGGATGCTGCAGGAGGTAGTGGACCCCGAGGCCCAGCGGTTCATTGATGCTGTGTATCAGATGTTCCACACCAGTGTCCCCATGCTCACCATCCCCCCAGGACTGTTCCGCCTGTTCAGGAGCAAGACTTGGAAGGACCACGCGGCCGCCTGGGACATGATTTTCAGTAAAGGTGAGGGCTCTTCTGTCTGTGCCCTGGAGAGCCAAGTGTGGAGAGCAGGGGGACCCTGTCACCTCCAGGAGTAGGAACCCAGAGAAGACCAGCTGGAGGACCTGGGCCTCCTTCTTTGTCCTGTCAGCCTCTAACTAAAAAGCCAGTGGTTCAAACCCGCTAGTGGTTTCAATGGAAGCTCTGGTAGCCTAGTGGTTAAGGAGTTGTGCTGCCAATCCAGAGGCAGGCAATTAGAATCCACCAGTGGCTTTGTGGGGGAAAGAGGGGCAATCTGCTCCATCAGAGCTTACAGCCCCCCCAAAACCTGCTTGAGGATTCCAACTTGATGGCATAGAACAAGCGACTCTGAGGGAGAAAGATGTAGCAATTAGCTTCCTTAAAGATTTGCAGCCCGGGTAACCCCATGGGGAAGTTTAGCTCTGTCCTGTAGGGTCTCTATGGGTGGGATTCACTCAACAGCAATGGGCTTGTGCTAACACCAGAGTGGGCAGAGAATGGCATAAGGAGGGACCCAGAACCCCAGAAAACAGTGCCCTAGTGCTGTATCAGGATGATTCATTCTTCTGAAGAAAGAGAACCAGTGCTGTCCATCACTTCTGAAAAGCATCCATAATCCTCAGGGGATTAAGGGTCAATGTCTCAGACACAGCTGTGTTTAGAAATAGGAGATTAGGATGTATCTAGAGAGATAAGGAGGCCAGGGGGAGGAGGGGAACTGGATGGTTGAGGGTGGCCCTCCTCTGTTCCTTGCACGAATGTGACCCTGGGCAAGTGACTCATCTGGCTGGGCCTTGGATTTGTTATCTGTAAAGTGGGGATGCTATCACTGACCCCACAGAGCTGTGTTCAAGCATTAAATGCAAAGGCAGACATGACAAAAGTATTGAGAATCTGCTCAGCAGCATAAAAAGCATGGGGTCCCAGAATCCCCAAGCTCTTGACACTGCTTCTCCCTGCAGATGGCTCTCCTTCCCTCTGACCTGCAGGAGACCTCACTCTTTTTTCCTTCCTCCTGTCCCACGTCCCCAGCTGAACAATACACCCAGAACTTCTTTTGGGACATGAGACAAAAAAGAGTCTTCAGCAATTACCCTGGCATCCTCTACTGCCTCCTGGCCAACAAAAAGCTGCCCTATGAAGACGTCAAGGCCAACATTACCGAGCTGCTGGCCGGCGGCGTGGACACGGTGAGGTTGCGTGGGAGGCCACGTCCCATGACCCCTGTGCACACTTGGCTCTCTCAACAGGCCGTCCGGGTGTCTCCGACCCCACCACTAGGGGCGTCCTGCCTGCATGTGGTGTAAACTTCCTTCTGCTCACTTTGCCTCCCTATAGTGACTTGAGCTCTCCCAGCGACTCCATGGGAGAAGGATGTGACAATCTGTGCTCATAAACATTATGTTTAGAAGATGCTATGGGGCAGATCTAATCTGTCTGTTGGCATTGCTATGAGTTAAAATTGCACCCAATAACACTCCCAGGCAAAATACTGAATAGTACAGTTGACACAGTTGTTTGCTAACCAAAAGGTTGGAGGTTTGATGCCACCGAGGGCATACTAGCAGAATGGCCTGGTAAGCTAATTTCAGAAAACCAATCCTACAGAACATAGTTCTTCTCTGACCCACATGGAGTTGTCATGAATTGGAACAGACATAATGGCATTTTAGGTTCCTGTGGAGCGTGATTTGAGGCAGATTAGCCATTTTTCCTTCGTCTGTGGGAGGGAGTGATGAGGTGTAGGGGGAGAGGCCTGAGTTCTGCAGGAGTCTTTAAGGGGAGAGTGAGTGGCCTCGAAGCTTCCTTGGTGGATGCTGAGCAAACAGGCTGTGGCCTCCAGTTATGATCCTTTTTGTTTCAAAGAGAAGACACAGCTTCTCTCAGAGCTAAGGAGGTGGGACCTCAGAAAAGGTGAAGGCCCAAGGCCCTGCCCTCCAGTCTTTCCATCTTCTCCTACCCTTTCTCTTCTGGTTCTCAGCATCCTATAGTATGTCCTGTGGCTGCCATTATGAATGAACACAAACCTAGAGGCTTAAAAACAATAGGAATTCATTCCCTCTTAGTTCTAGCTCCCTAGAGTTCAAAGTCAAGGCTGTTCTCCTTCAGAAGGCTCCAGGAGAGACTCCTTCCTTGCCTCTTACAGCTTTTTGTGGCTTTGAGCACTCTCTGACTTGTGGCTGGAAGGCTCCAATCCTGACTTCCAGCCTCCTTTCTGGGTGCCTCTCTTCACTTTCTTACAAGGACACTTCCTTTTGGACTTAGGGCCCATTTTAGTAATATACAGGAGATATGGTGTTGTGGTTGTGCTGTGTACCATAGAGTCAGAACTGACTCATAGCTGACTCTCCAGTGGGTTTTCAGAGGCAATTAATTGCACAGGAGGAATTGTCCATCCCTCTCCCACAGAGCAACTGGTGGCCTTGAACCGCATGCCTTCAGGACTGCAGCTCAGTTTCTTGCCACTAGGCCACCAAACCTCCCTATGGTGGTGTAGTGTGTAGCATGTTATGCTGCTAATGGAAAGCTCACAGTTTCAAATCCACCAGTTGCTCTGAGAGAGAAAGAAGGGCAGTCTCCTCTCGTCAACATTTACAGCTTTGGGGGCTCAATGGTTGGTTGAATAATTCAGGATGATTTAATCTTGAGATCCTTAACTTCTCTTCACAGACTTTCCCAAACCAGCTTACACTGGAAATAGATTTTTCTGGAAAAAGAAGGTCAAAGGCATTAATTATTCCTCAAAGGAGACCATAATCCCCCAAGGGTTTAGTATCAATGTTTGAGGTTTAGGATGTGGACATTTCTTATTTTGGGGAGTTGTCCTCTATTCCACTACAGCACCCTTGGTACCTAAAGTCATCCACTGTGGCATCTCATGTCCTTTCTCCATAGGCAGCACTCAATTCTCTGAAAGTCTCTCCTTGAATGTCAAATTTGACCTGTCTTTGTGTACCATATCTTTCTCTACATTTCTACATGTTTCACTTCTAATGTGATGATCTGATTACCAGTGTGCTTATTCCGACTCTTGGTGACCTCACGTGTGCCGTAGGGAAGCATGCTCAAGAGGGTTGACATTTTGGAAGTGAATTGGCAGAATTTTCTTCTGAGACACTTAGGGATCGACTCAAACTTCCAACCTTCTGGTTAGCAGTCAAGCATGTTAAGTGTTTAAATAGCCCAGGGACTCCACTACTGTGATTGTTGTTGTTGTTAGGTGTTGTTGACTATGACTCAACAGTGAACCTATGAACAAAGACTCTGAACTTGGCCCTATTCTGTGTCACACAATACACTTTGAGTCCATTGTTAAAGTTACCCTATTGATCAATCTCATGTGATGCTGTTGTTGTTGTTAGGTGTCATTGAGTATGACTCATAGCAACCCTATGAACAACAGACCTGAACTCTGTCCTTGTCTGTGCCATACTCACAATCTCTGACACACCTGAGCCCAGTGCTGCAGTCACTGTGTCAATCCATCTTGTTGAGGATCTTCCTGTCTTTTGCCAACTCTCCACCTTTCCCAGCCTGGTGTCCCTCTCTAAGGAATAACCCCTTCTGACAACTTGCCCAAACTATGTGAGATGAAGCTTTGTCATCTTTGCCTCCAAGAAGCACTCTGGCTGTACCTTCTCCAAGACATATCTGTTTGTTCTTTTGGCAGTCCATGGGATGTTCAGTGCCCTTCTCTGATAACACAGTTCAAAGAAATGAATCCTTCACCTGCTATCCTTATTCATTGTTCAGCTCTCAGATGCACAGGAAGTGATTGAAAAGTTCCATGTCCATGAGCTTTGCTATGTTTGGACCTCTTACTGAGGCAATGTGTGGATCCATCTTACTGCAGATTGTGGCAAAATATTCACAAAGATCGCTACAAATTGATTAATATTATCTTCATTTATTAGATGAGGAATTGAGGCAAAGAGGGGTTAAGTAACTTACTCAAGGTCACACAGCTAGTAACAGAATTGCCTTACTGAACAAGTTTCTCCTGCATACCTATTCTGTGTTGGCTTTGGACAAAGGTATTTGATCTAAGCTTTGAAGGAGGGCATGCTTTCTTCCAAGGTGAAGTGTGGAATTCCAGGAAGAGGAAATACCTCATGGCAGACCTGTAGGTTTCAGGAGTTGAGAGGCAGGAAATGGGGAGGGGGAGCAGCACACACAGACCAAGTGTTGAGGGACCTTGTGAGTCAGACCAGAATCTGACTTTATCTGCAATCCAGGCAAGGACGTTAAGCTATGACACAACTGGGTGATGCTTACTTCTGGGAAGAAACAAAGTATCTGAGGAGGATTTGGACAGAAATGTAACCCTTGGTAAAAGAATGTGTCAGTGATCCATGTCCTGTCTCCTTCCCCAGGGGGCGTGCTGCCCCAGCCTGGGGTTCCAAAGGCTTAGTTTATTGTCGTTGAGAAATCGGGATGACTGTGAGGTTTAACTAGGGTCAGCCAGGCCCTCAGCAAATGATTCACGATCACAACTTCTGCCCAATACTGAGAGGAGCTGGTGCATCTTGGCACGTGGCACATGCTAATCTCAACGTGGGTAGAAAATAGATCTGAGTGTTCTGACTTCAGTGTCTTTGAGATTCGCATTAAGTTCTGCTGATACAGGCAAATCCTGAAGCTTTGGGCAGTTCTGTTTGGGAGGGGGTGGCCGTTTAATAAGATGTTCCAAAGGAATGACAATCTTTTCGGGACTCCAACCATGCAAGCAATAGGATCTGGCCTCTGGGGTTCTTCGGGAGACAGTATTGGCTGTGCAAGTGATAACCCTATTGAATGGGGAGATGGGTGGGTCACAGCGGCATGAGGGATGAAGACAGAGAGAATGTTGTTCTGAATGTCCTCACACAGGCAGCAAGGAGGGCTTCTTGAGCCTTTGGCTACTAAATTATACTTTAAATTTACTAATGGTGATTTTTGGAGGCTGGGAGGGGTGCAACCAGGTACAGCTAGCTGGGAAGAAATCTTTAGCCTTGGCCATGAACCTCGAAGAGCCCCAGAAGTGACAAGCCCTCCTGGCTGTGTCGTCCCGGCCCCTGCCAGACGTCCATGACACTGCAGTGGAGCCTGTACGAGATGGCCCGGAGTCTGAAGGTTCAGGAGGCACTGAGAGCAGAGGTCTTGGCTGCCCGGCGTCAGGCCAACGGGGACCTGAACATGATGCTCAAACTAATTCCGCTCCTCAGAGCCAGCATCAAGGAGACACTGAGGCAAGTGCACATTCACCTGTGTCCCTTTAAAACCCTTGGGCAGGGCCAGGGTGGAGCCGGGGGAGAGGGTTACAAGGAGGGGCTGGTGGAAGACACCGGAAATAGGATGCAGGCAGTCTAGGGGAGATGGCTGGGGATAAAGAGAGGAAAATAGAATCCATTGCCTTCACATTCCCCAGGTGTGGCAGCTGGGCTGGGGTGCCATGCTGGGTGAAGGGGTAGGGGTACAGCTGGGGCTAGTTTTGGGGCCAGCAGCCCACGTGTTCTCCTTCTGCAGACTCCACCCCATCTCCGTAACTGTGCAGAGATATGTTGCTAATGACGTGGTGATTCGAGATTACAAGATTCCTGCAAAGGTGGGTGCAGTGGGGTGCTGCCGGTCAGAGGGAGGAATGCAATGACAGGCAGATGGGGAAGAAGGGGCACTGCCCTGTCTTTCTCCCTGGACCTGGGACCTTGGTGGGTTGCCACAGCCAAGAGTGGTGGCATCATGAAAAGTGGCCTCTGAAATGCTGCTGGAGTCCTAGGTGAGGGGGCAGCTGGTCTCAAGGGAAGGACAGGACAATCCGTTGAGCCATCAGCAACCTTTGGTCTTCACCTGTTACAGCGTTGGAGCCAGGAGACCATCCTCATTTGATGGGTGTAGCTCAGTGAAGGCCAGGAATGTGTGCCAGGTTACACAGTAGCCAGCGTGCTGTCCTGGGTCACTGGGCAGCCATTCTAGGAAGTGAGCGTGTCAGAGGAGGGGAGTGGAAAGGACTGGGGAAGCTTACTGCCATGTTACTCACACTTCGGTCAACCCTGCCCTAGACATTGGTGCAGGTGGCTACCTTCGCCATGGGCCGGGACCCCGCCTTCTTCTCCAAACCTGAGTGTTTTGACCCAGCCCGATGGCTGAACAAAGACAAGGACCACACCTACTTCCGGAACCTGGGCTTCGGCTGGGGTTCCCGGCAGTGTGTGGGCAGGCGCATTGCGGAGCTGGAGATGACTCTCTTCCTCATCCATGTGAGTTGAGTAGGGACATCCTGCCATCCTGGGCTGGCTCTGACTCCTAACAAAGGCATCAACCCTCCCTGTCCTCCTGTCTCTCCAGGATACCTTCCCCACATCACTTAGCAGACCCCTAGACCTGGCCCCAGACTGTAATCCCTGTCTGCTTCCTTTTCTGAGCTAGTTCTCACTCAACATGATTGGTGCCTCTAGGTAGTGATAGTATGTGATGAGGTAAGGATGGAATTTTAGATTAAAATCAAGGGAATGAAGCACTGATGGTGTGTCCTCAAGGACTTGGGAAGGGTTAAATGAGGTGTCAGAGGTTGAGTCTTTGGCAACTCTTCAAATTCTACTCCTTGCCACTGCCTGTGGGTGACCAGAGTCCTGACCCAGGAGAGGCCGCTCTTGCCCCTCTGCCCTATCAAGCCCACCTTCCTCCTTCCTTAGATGCTGGAAAACTTCAGAATTGAGATCCAGCATCTCATTGATGTGGACACCACATTCAACCTCATCTTGATGCCCAACAAACCCATTTCCTTCATCTTCCGGCCCCTCAACAAGGAACCGCCCCAGGCATGATGGGTCTACCTGTCCTGCATCTGGCCAGCTGTGGGCATGAGGAAGAGCCAGAGATGGTGGGGCCTGTGCATCTTCAGTCCTCTGCTCCCACCCCAATGTCTTCCCTTCCCTCTCTCACCATCCCCGAGAGCCTGGGTTTGGCTCTCAATTTTCTCAGTTTTGCTGGAATGCTCTTCCATGTCCACTCCAGAAAGATAAATAAATGGCTATATTATGTGAAATGTCTTGTTTATTACACTCGATTTCCAAGATATTCTGCACTCCTGTGAAGAGGGTCCCTGGTTCTGAATCAGCAGCGTGATCTGGGCCTGGAAGGAGGGTGTACCTGAGGCATCCATATTTGAGGCCATTTCTGTTCTGGCCTCCTTACCCCAACCCCTAACATGTAGTAACTCAGGAACCAGCTTGATGCATCTGGCAGAGGAACTAGAGAGCTGGTGGGTTGTGTTAAGAATGAGGTGGCCTGAGGGAGAGAGGCCTTTCTCCCAGCAGGGGTGAGGCCTGTCTCCAAGCAGGGATGAGGCCTGTCTCCTAGCAGGTGTGGGGTCCGTCTCCTGACAGGGACGAGGCCTGTCTTGCAGCAGGGGTGAGGCCTATCTTGCAGCAGAGGTGAGGCCTATCTTCTAGAAGGGGTGGGGTCTGTCTCCCAGCAGAGGTGAGGCCTGTCTCCTATTAGGAGTGTGGTCTGTCTTCTGGCAGGTATGAAGAAGCTCTGCTTGGCTGAATCCTGGGTGGGGATCCACAGTGAAGTCATGAGGACTTCACTCCAGGACCAGCCAGAATCTTGGTGAGGGCTGAGGGGCATGTGTTCACATGTGGAGGGGGAGGGGCCAGGTGATAGACTGTATGACAGCGAGAGGCCAGCCTATTTCTGTTCCATGTGATTCTCCTCTGGAATTGCCCTAGTTCTCCACTTCCTGCCCCAGGGGACGTGTCCACTTGCTCAACTCTGTGTGGTGGACAGGGAGACTACAGAGATTATCTGGATTATTATTTGGATTATCTGCTACTGGTCCCCAATCTTAAACTTCTCTGAAGGAACCCTCATGGCACATTGATTAAATGCTTGGCTGTTAAAATGATCAGCTGTTCAAATGCATCAGTATTCCGCAGGAGGAAGATGTGGTAGATTTATTGCCTTAGAAATTATATGGGGCTGTTCCTCTTTGTTTCTTAGGGTCACTATGACTGCTATTGTTGTTGTTATGTGCCATCAAGTCGCATGGGACTTAATAGTGACCCTATTTACAATAGCTCAGAACCCAGTTCTATCCTGAGCCAGTCTCACTGTCTCTGACATACCTAACCCCATTGCCCCAGTTACCATGACAGTCAATCACATCCACGGTTTTCCTCTCTTGTGCTGTCCCTCCACCCTCCCAAGCATGATGTCCTTCTCCAAGGAGTGGTCCCCCCTGCCCAGAGTGTGTGAGATAGAGCTTCAAAATCCTAGCCTCCAAGGAAAAACTTGGACTTGATGGCAGTGGGTCTGGTTTCAGACCTTCGCTGGCCCTGTACAGGTATATGACCCACCCCCCTGGCTTTCTACCCCTATGTCCCCTAAGACAGGGAAGCTAGTCCAGCTAGGGACAGTGGTAGAGCTGATATGGCCTCTACTGCTGGTATCTGCAGGTTCTGGGTTCATTTCTGGAAACTTTCTGCTTTCCCTTATCACATGCGCTCTTTTCTGTTCTCTCTCTCCTTCCCACATCCCTTCCCTTGTCTAGATTGAATCATCTTTGAATCAGAATGTTAGAGATGGAAAGCACCTTATTGTCAGAGGGAACAAGCTCTGTGTAGCATAGATGGCGAAACAAGCCCAGAGAGGTTGCTTGCTTCACCCAAGTCACACAGCAGGCTTACAGCTAGAAACGGGCTTCTCGGGTTTTCACCAGGGCTCCTTCTTTAGTCCCCCAAAGACAGTGTAGCCCAATCTAATGAGTCACTTCACACTCTGATGTTACCTGATTGCCACAGGCAAGAAAGGTCTTAAAGGACAGATAACCAAGCTTGGAAGAAGGGATTAGGGGCATGATGGATGTTTTGGGGCAGGTGAAATTTCCAAGCCTCCTCTCTTCTTGGTGGTCTGGAAAGGACCTATCTCTCTGGCCCTTGTTTTGGAGGACTTCTCATCAACTCTGCTGATCCTCTATGATATCTGTCTCTCCAAAGATGGAATTCCTGGGAGAGGCAGGGGACTATGGGCTACAACATGAGACCAGAGTGGGATTCTGGAATTCTAGGGATTCTGGAAGTCATTGGCTGCTCTACTCCAGAAAAGAGGCAGAGCCTTACCATACTATAGCATTTAATACAGTCATTTTCTGAGGGTGAGATGCCAGCACACAGACTCCAAGCACACAGAATAGGGGGTGTGCTCCAGTGCTCAGGTTTTCTTGGACATAGAGGTCTTCTGGGAGGTTGATGGCTGGTTGAGAGAAGTCTTTGAACTGGGCTTCTCTTGGTGGTCCTGTTTTGAGGGCCACCTTTGGTCCTTGGAGTAGGTTGGGGGGCTCTGTGATGTACAAAGGAAGGGGAGTTAGATAAATTCCTGTGTTGGAAGGGTTGAGTCATTTAAGGACATCTTGCTTGGCCAAGCCACGCTTCAAGGATCCAAAATCTAGTGTCAAAGACCCTTTGACTTGTCAAAGATTACAAAACCCTTTTAGCAAAGTGTGATATCTGATCTCCTGATACACAAGGCTCAGCAGATACATGTAAGGGAATCTGCTCCTCAGAAGCCCTATATCCTTCCCAGGAGCCCCTGAATTTCCAGCTATGTGCCCAGCAGGGGAAATCAGGGTGTTTGCATTGAGGAGCTTGTGGGCCCCTGGGCTAAAATTAAGGTGCAGTTGTAGAGATGCTAATAATGTGTAACTCTGGCCATAGTCTCCCTTCTAGAATAGTTTGTCAGGTCGAGAGCAGTATTACAGCCAACCAGGAGGGTTCTGATTGTGGTGGGATTGGGTGCGGACTCTGCTCACAATCTACTCTATAAAGCAACGGGGCTACAGTGTAGTCAGTGCCAAAGCCTTCTAGAAACGCTCTGATTAAAAGCTGTGGGTCTCTTATACAAAGGGGGAAACTGAGACCCAGTAAGGGTTTCAGTTGGTTAACCGTAGCAACTGCAGCCCGGGTCTGACTCCCAGGCCTTTGGTTTTTCTTGGGCACCAGCTGAAGGCAAGAGGAACTCACACGTAGTTGCCTACATTTGGGATGATAATAACTAATTGCCTAGGCCTGGGATGAGAAGAAGCTCTTGTCTAAGTTTAGGTTGATAGTAAATAGTTGCCCAAGCTTAGGACAACAACCAAGTTGCCTACGTAAAGGTCATGAACCTGATTGATTAGCTATGAGATTGTTTTTTCAGGAACTGAGCATTTGCGATCAAGTCACCTTGAAGTGAAAAGCCTGATAAATTACTTAAAGAATGCACCATCAGCAAGGAAACCTGAGCTTCCTGAAGTTCCTGAAGCAAAGAAACTTGCCTTGAGCATGGAACCTGCACATCTGATAACCATCATGGAAAAAGACATCTCAAGGAACAACTCTGGGCATTCCTTCCAGACCCTCCCACATTCCCCTAAAAAGCCTGGCTTGATTCTGAGATGTCAGAAAATGCCCTGCAGGGCTCCATGCTATTTGCTGTCTCTCAGATTGTTAGCTTCTTCTGAAGAGAGTGCTTTTAGAAGAGTCAATCCTTGTCTCTACTCAATTGGCTCCTAGTGACAACACCTTCTTTTTCTGGTTACACAGTGACTTGGGGGCAGGATGACTGCCAATCCCACCCTCCAGCATCACTCACGGGCTGACTGGTGAGGCCAGTGTTGCTTAAGCCGTGTTCTTGCTCCTGAAGCCGTATGGCCAAGTTTTGCTTCTCCTGCCCCCAGCGTCGGGCTGAGTCCTCTAACTGCAGACACCGAACAGGGGAGATGTAGAGTCAGTGGAGAGCAGAGCTGACCCTTGACAGCCAGGACAGCAAAGCCAGAGATTGCTTTCTAGGCAAAAAGGAAAGTCCTGGGCAATGTAGCTTGACACCTTCCCAAGACATACCAGAGGAGCAGGAATGAAAGAGGCGACCCAAGGTTGTGCCCTGACCTGGCCACATGTTGACTCTTTACCTGAATCCAGGCTGACCCCTGAGCTGGCCCGAAGCTACCCTGAGCCTGGCTCCAGGCCTGATCTGACCCACGAGGATGACTGACCTGGTTTTCCAAAGACAGGATTCGGCTCTGAGCCTGCTCAAGCTTGGCTAGGAGGTTAAATTTGTCTGAGGTATTGGAAAGGAGATCCTGCAGACAATGTGGAGAAGAGAATGCAGTGTCAGTCCACAGCTGTGAACTCTGACCCTGTGAGATGCTGGGGGAGAAGCCAGCCAGCTTGGAGCTCCAAACTCAGCTCCCCTTGTTTGCAGCCTCAGGTCAGGGCCAGGACACCTTTGGGAAGTTCAGAACCAGGCCTGGGATGGGACTTTTAGATATACCGTTTTCACAGGTTGGTTTTTCAACGTAGCATGCAAGAGTTCCCTGCCCTTTGCATTTGCCCTGGAGGCCCAGGATCAGGTTTGCTTTTAAGAACTCACCTGCTGTGGGTCCTGAGAGGAAGAGAAAAGCCCTGCTTGACCCTGACCCGCCCTCTCTTCTCAACTCCCCATGACCTGTTTGCCTGCAGTGGCTTCGAGTGTGGAGGGAGCTGGGCACCCACCTGTCTGGGCAGGGACTCCGTGTGTTTGGATTGACGGGGGCCATCTGTGTCTGGAAGCCTCTTTGCTGAGTCTCCTCCTGCTCCCAACTCCCTGGGGTTCACCTGGGATGGGGAGGAAAGGGCCCTCCAAGGCTGCATCAATCCCAGGAGATGCTCCAGCAGGGTATTCTGAGGGGCTTGATGGGGCCCCAAGTGCAGGTCAATCAGGTGGTGGAAAGGGTCAGGGTTCAAGGGCCAAATACAACCAAATTAGATGCCATCAAGTAGATTCTGACTCATAGTAACTCCATGTACTTCCGAGTAGAAATGCACAACTGCATTTCATGCAATTGCCAATAGCTACGACCTTTCAGAAGTAGATTGCCAAGTGTTTCTTCCAAGGCACATCTGGGTGGGTCCGAACTGCCAATGTTTCTTTTATTAGCTGAGTACCTAATTGTTTACACCACCCAGGGAGGTTTAGGGGCTTGCTTTTCGCCAGGGTGGCAGTGAAGGGTAACAGTCAAGTTTTCCAACACAGGTGTTTCCCAGGAGAAGAGCCAGGCCTGAGGGCTGGCCCTCCAGGAGACTACAGGCAGATGGGAGACCCTGGCAAGCCTAGCTCCTGGTCTTAATCTTTAACTTGGACTGTGCTGGGGCTGACTGCTGGTCACCCAGGCCCCAGGCAAGCTTATGCTGACAGCTCTTACCGGAAGGGCCTGCTGTTGCAGAATGATGGGGGCAGACTGGTGGCGTGTTTTATCCAGCTCTGCCCGCAGCCTTGAGTTTTCTACCAGCAAGACTGAGTAAAGGTCACCAAGCAAGTTCTCCCTCACAGGATCCTGGGGAAGGCCGGAGGCCGAGAGTGCGGGGAAAGCTGCAATGAGACAGATAGCCGTGAGACGGGCTCTCCTGCATCTTGTCTGCCTCTGCATCTTGTGCCTATGTTGCTTTTCCGTAGCTCAGAAGCCTTCAATGGCTCCCTACTACTACTGGGTCCATGCTCAAGTAATCCATTAGGTCCTTTGGAATCTGACGCCAAGTTCTTCCTCACCAAGCCTGACCTTGCATTTGTCCTGGTGTGTATTTCAGTTCTTCTCAGTCTTATGGGCTCTGTACGTGCTTCTCCCTCTGTTGCCCAGCCATTTTTATTCTCTCAGCTGCTGCCTCTCACCCAGATTCTGAATGACCTAGAGTTTCTAAAGGCGGGGTGTGAACTTTCATTGTTTTCTAAAAGTCTCCAGAAATAGCCCTCTCCCCCGGGGCTCCCCATGCCCACTCCCCATTGAAGGCTGAGCACAGGGCTGCACACACTGGGGTCCCCTCAAGGCTTCACAGATGGCTGGATGTATCTAGTTCTTTTTGAACCAATTCTAATGGAATATTTAGGTGGCTTTGGTTAATACCAATGAGGATAAAATATGATTGATTTATTTGAAGTTAATAGTTACATTCTACAGGGTCAGAAGCTCGCTTTCTTTTCTTTTATTCCAAACCAATTTAGAATACCATTTTTCTTCTCAATTTATTTTTTTCCCTTTCAATTTAATTGTTACAAATTTTCCTCAAAATCTTGGTTTTGTAGCAAATATGTGCAGCAGAACAGGCACCAAATCAGCAGTTTTCTAGATATACACGTTAGTGATGTTGATTACACTCTTTGAGTTGTATAACAATTTTCATTCTCCGTTTCTGAGTTGTTATTCCCCATTAACATAAACTTTTTACATTTCCTATCTCAGCTTTTTGATTTGCTATTGTCAATTTTATCCCATAGAGACACTTTTTCTAAAAGAGCACCATATTCAGGGTAGACCTTTTTTACTAGTTAAGACAAAGAATTTTCTGTCTCAAGATGACTCCTGGGGATATTTTTGGTTTAAAGGGTTTTTAAATTTTTTTTTTAAGTTTTAAGATGTTTATAAGACAACTATTTCAGGGATTCATCCAGTCACCACGGAGCCAGAATGTCTGAAGTCTATGGGAATTTTGAGTTCTGTTTCACATGTTCCCCCCTTTTGATCTGCATTCATCTATGACATTTTTTATCTGTTTCTTCTCTCCTGATAGGGAACCCTGAAGGACACATGGCATAGTATGTATGCATGTCAGCGATCTGTATTCATCTATGAAGTCTTTGTTTAGTAATAGTATCTTGGCATCATTCTTTTCTTTTGGACTAATGGCAAAGAAAGCAGTTGTTCACAGAGATAGAATCTTTTAAGGAGTTGGATAAATCATTCCAGGGGTCCCTGGAGTTAAGTTAGGATCTTCTGATTCAGGTAGCCTTCTCCTACCCTCTCTGTGCTGTGGTTTGTCCTGGACTCTCCCCTGAAAGACAGGGCCCTAGAGCCTGGTGTACATACTATGCCATGGGTCCTTCGGGGTTACCTGGCAGGAGAGAAGACGCTTTAGGGGATTTCTGGAAGTATTAGGTATCTGAGCGAGTAAGAGAGTAGCACTTTCTGAGTTTCTTAGGCCCATAGATACTGCTGAGTGTGCTTATACCCACTCATCAGGCTGTCTTTGAAGCTGGGGAGCTCTGAGGAGACAGGGCCTCCAGAGACGGGCAAAGAGTAGGGACTCACCTATGTTCGACTTTCCCTGCTGCTTGTTCAGGAAGGGCTCATTCCTGTCCCGAAGCTTGTCCTCCAGAACCCGCTCCATCTTCTCAATCACCTGGAAGGCAGAGGAGAGGAGAGGGGCCGGGCTGGCCTCGGCTTGGTCCTGTGGGCCTGACCTGTGAGAGGCTGACCACTCCAGCACCAACCTTCTCCTGGTGCCACACGGTCTTCTCCAGTGCCTTCATCTTCTGCAGCCTGTCCTGGTACTTCTTCAGCAGCCCGGCCTGAGGCTGCTGAGCCTGGTGCAGGAGGAGCAGCTCCTTCTCCCGGTCATTCTTCTGAGGGTCAGGGAGGGGAAATGGGACCTGGGCATCATCCTTGGCCCTGGGGGTCTGCTGAGTCCTCTGCTGCTCTCATCCCCTCTTTCCTTCTACTCCCCCCTTCCCTTTTGATATCCCCAGCTTTTGATACCATAACACCCCCCATCTTCTTTACCTCTGCTCCCCAAGCCCCAACTCACTCGAATCAGCTCATTCTGCAGATGCTGCACCTTGTCCCTCAGTTTCTTCGTGCCCACCTCACTCAGCAGCAGCTTCTGCTTCATGGACACTGTGTTGAGGGTCAAGGATAGAGAGCTGGCTCAGGGAGGACGCCTCTCCTGGCTCATATCAGTACTGTGACTCTCTGTCCTAGTGTTTAAGACAGGACTGGCAGTGGCTTGAGTTGTGTTCTCCCCAAAAGTACCTTAGATCCCAACCTTGGGTACTTGTGAATGTGACCTCATTTGGAGATGGGAGCCTTTGCAAATATAACCAAGTATTCATACTGGCATAGGGTGGGCACCAAGTCCAATAATTGGCATCTTTTTTGGAGAAAAGAAAGTATATAGAGAAGACAGACAGGAAAAAGGGCATGTGGGAATGCAGGCAGAGGCTGGAGGGCTGCAGTTAAAAGCCAAGAAATGTCAAGGATTGCTGGGAGCCATCAGAAGCCAGGACTAGGCAAGCAAGGATTCGTCTCTAGAGCTTTGGGGGAGTGTGGCCCCCTGCACCTTGATTCTGGACTGGGAGGGCCCATAATTATGACAGACATATTTCTATTTGTAAGCCACGCAGTTTGTGGTGTCTATGGCAACCCTACGAAACAAATAAACCAATACAGTGTGAGGAGCTTGTGCAGTAGGGACTAAGTGTGTTGGAGGCTCCTTACCCACTGGTGGCCCAGCAGTAAAAAGCTGGTAAGAAGGCACACAGTGTGAATCCACCAGGTACTCTGTGGGAGAAGGATGAGCAATCTCTTCTCGTGCTATTTACTGCCTCTGAAAACCCACTGGAGGGTCAGCTGTAGGTCGGCACTGATTGATGGTACACAACCACCACCACCATCCACTGGGCAAAGGCTCTCTCCCTTCCCTGTTCCACAACCCAGAGCCAGACCCAGCCTGCAGCCAGGGGTCCTCAGCAGCCTGTGTCCTCACCCAGGTTCTGGGCCTCCTCAGCTTGGTCCTGTTCCTCCTCTGCCTCCTGCTGGTTCAGGTGGCTTCTCAGCATACGGTTCTCAGTCTCCAGGATGCTGGCTTGCTTCCGCAGTGCCAGGATGTCCTCAGCCATCTTCTGCATGGCCCGCCGGTAGTTGTTAATTTCCTGTGGCCCCAGAGTTCAGAACTCAGCCTGTACCCCACACCTGGAAGCCCCAAGGCCAAGAAGCTCCCCAAGTCTCAGAACTCCTTGGAGAGATGGTTATGGCTTGTAATAACCCTTGAAGAGTGAGCTTCTTGGCCACACAAGAGCAGCTGAGCTAATCTGGCCCTTGGGGGAACATCCGTGGTACTATCTCGGGAAGACCTGGGGACCAGGCTCCAGATGAGGAAGCCTCAGAGCACTGCAGACTTGGAGGCATCTGGGCCCATCTTCCAGACTCTGGCTGACTCGACCAATTCTTTATCTTTTCCCTTCTCATTTCCCCCTCTTCTGATTCCTCTTTCTTCCTAATGTCACTGAGAAGCCCAGGAGGAACCTCTCTGAAATCCCACCAGTGGCACTTGGGACCCGACTCCAAGCACCAGCTCCCAATTAACCCAGAGGCCAGGAACAGGCACAGAGTAGGCTGAGTCCCAGATAAAGATTCAGGGCCAGATTTAGGACTTAGCTTCAAGATTTGGGGTGTGAAGTGGGGGCTAGAAAGCTGGATTCTATCATTAGACCAGAAATAGCAGTGATTCTCCAATGAAGAGCAAAACTGGAGGAAATTCTCCTTAAAAAAAAATTCTGTAATAATTTGAAACTAACACTTTACATAATACCTTAAAAGGACTCACTTTTCACTTTTGTAGCTAATGGATAGAAGATTGACCTTTCTATGGGCAATGGGTTCGAGTGGGTCAGAGATTGTAAGGATGGCACGGGATGGGCAGTGTTCAGATTGGTTTTTCATAGGGTCACTGTGAGTCATACTCAATGACACCTAACAATAACAAGTCTTTCAAAAAATGGATGTTAACTTTTCACAAAACCCTGTGCTGATATAAAACTAAATCTCACTGCTGTTGAGTCAGAATCAACTCAAAGCTGACCCTCAGTCAGGTTTCAACAGCTCTAAACTGCATAGAAGGAGACTGACTGTCTTTCTTCCACTGAGCAGCTGGTAGATTCAAACCAACCACCTTTCAGTTGGCAGGGCAACTCCTTACCCATCAGGCCACCAAAGCTCATTAACATTCTTCTTATAACATTTTAAAAAGAAAAGGCTTTTCTCTTGACATAGCCAAACAACCGAGAGAGGCTTCCCTATCAAACTGAAGCCCTTTGCCAATGTTGGTCTATCCTGTAATCTATAGCTGCGGTTTGCTCCCCTTTGTAACCCTGCAATCTTTACTAAATAACTATTCCCTCTTGCATAGTGCTCCTGAAGCAGTTGCTGCAGAAGGTCAAACACTGTAATTTTCAATATGGATTGAAACTCATTATCAAGAAAACAGATTCTCACCACTGGACCAATTGGTAGTACCATTATAGAAGAGAAAGGATTGAGATTGTCAACAATTTCAGCTTGCTCAGTTCCACAATCAATACTCTTAGCACCAGCAGTAAGAAAATCAAAAGACTAATTGCATTAGGAAAATCTGTTGTCAGGGATCTCTCCAGAGTACTGAAGAGCAATGGCATCGGTCTAGAGACCAAGGTGTGCCTGATGCAGGCCAACGTCCTTATAACTTTTTTTTTTTTTTGCTACACATGAGAGAGCTGGACAATCACTAAAGATGACAGAAGAAGAATCAATGCCTTTGAGTTGTGGTCCTGGAGAAAAGTATTGAACATCACATGGACTGCCAAGAGAACAAACAGGTCTGCCCTAGAGATGGTGAAAATGAGTTTCTCTTTGGAGGCAAAGATTTTGAGGGTCTGTCTCACATACTTCGGTCATGTTGTCAAGAGGGACCAGTTCTTGGAGAAGGACATCATTCTTGGAAGGGTAGAGGGACAGCGCAGGAGAGGAAGACCCTGGATAAAGTGGACTGACATAGTGCCTGGAGTAATGGGGGTAGGTGTGTCAGAGTCGGTGAGATTGACTTAGGATAGGACAGGGGTCAGAGCTATTAGTCATAGTGACTCAACAGCACATAACAACAAGAAGCTATTTTGGAAGGCATGCAGTTCTATTCCATGCAGTTCGGTGCTCCAAGGGAGAAAGATAGGCAATATCCTCCTGCGCAATTAATTGCCTCTGAAAACCTGGTGGAGGGTCAGCTATGGGTCAGTCCCAACACAATAGCAAATAAAAACAAGAAGAATAATCTTTGGAGGGAGTTCTGGTGGTTTAGTGGTAAGGAGTCTGCGGCTAAGCCAAAGGAATGCAGCTGAATTCCATCAGGCTGCTCTGTGGGAGGAAATGAGCAATCTTCTCCTGTGCAATTTATTGCCTCTGAAAACCTGGTTTGGTGGCCTAACTGTAAGCAGCTGCAATGCAACCCCAAAGGCACGTGGTTTGAATCCACCAGCTGCACCACAGGAGAAGGCTGGGCAATCTCCTCCTCTGCTATTTACTGTCTCTGACAACCTGCTATGAGCTGGTCCCGACTCAGCGGCACACAACAGCAATGGTAACAGCCACAAGCTGTCTTGAGTACCTTGACATGATCCTGCCAGCCACTGGTCCTGAACACTTGGAAATTCTCACATATTTCACTGTCCTGCATCTGCCTTAAATGAGCTCCCCCCAATCCCCGCAGGCTTCAAGGTGGGGAGATAGATTTGAGGCGCTTATGTTCTCTGTCTCTGTATATAGACAGATAAGTAATAAAGCTCTCAAGAGTACTGAAGAGCAACGATGTCAGGCTGGAGACTAAGGTGTGCCTGATCCGGGCTATAGTCTTCGCAATTATGTGCTTTGCATCAGAGAGTTGGACAGGGGCTGATAGAAAGAGGATTGATGCCTTTGAACTGTGGTGCTGGAGAAGAGTGTTGAATATACCATGGACTGCTAGGAGAACAAACAGGTTTGTTCTGGAGAGGGTGAAGCCAGAGTGTTCCCTGGAGTCAAGGATTCTGAAGCTTCGTCTGACATATTTTGGGCATGTTGCAAGGAAGGACTGGTCCTTGGAAAGGGACATCATGTTTGGCAGAGTGGAGGGGAAGCGAAGGAGAGGAAGAACTTTGGTGAGATGGATCGATTCTGTGACTGGAGCAGTGGGAATAAGTGCATTTGAGATGGCTAGGTTGGCACAGGATAGAACAGCATTTAGAGCTCTTGTACATAGGTTCGCTATGAGTCGCAAGCGACTCGATGGCACATAACAACAACAACAACATGTTCTCTGTCTCTGTATATATACAGATATATAATAAAGCTTCTGCTTTTCCATTCCAATTCCTGCTTCCAAGATTGTTTTTTCCGGTAGCAGGAGCAGAATCAGTTTTCTAGTAACAAAACTATGTTGTTATAAGTTGCCAAGTCACTTGCGACTCCTAGGGACAACAGCTCTGAACCCCGCTGTATCCTGAGCCAACCTTATTTTCTCCAACACACCTACCCCCATAACCCCAGTCACTGGGTCAACCCATCTCATCCAGGGTCTTTTTCTCCTGTGTGTCCCTCCACCCTCCCAAGCATGATGTCGCTCTCTAAGGACTTGTCTCTCCTTGAACATGCTCAAAGTATGTCAGATGGAGCTTCAGAATCCTTTCCTCGAAGGAGCAGTCTGGTTTCATCCGCTCTAGGTTGAAGCTGTTTGTTCTCCTAGCAGTCCATGGTGTATATTCAATACTCTTTTCCAGCACCACAGCTCAAAAGCATCAATTATCCTTCTATCATCCTTAATCATTGTCCAGCTTTCTGATGCAAACAAGTAATTGTGAAGTCCATGGCCTGAATTAGGCACACCTTAGTCTCCAGACTGACATAGTTGCTCTTCAGTCCTCTGGAGACATCCCTGACAGCAGGTTTTCTTGAAGCAATTAGTCTTTTGGTTTCCTGGCACACTAAAGCTGTTAACAATCTCAATCTCTTCATTGTCTATCATGATGCTGCCAGTTGGCCCAGTGATGAGAACCTTTGTTTTCTTGATCTTGAGCTTCAATTAATATTGAAGACTACAGTCTTTGACCTTCTGTAGGAAATGCCTCAGGTCATCCTCCATTTCGGCAAGCAAGTTTGTGTCATCTGCATAACATAGGTTGTTGAGTCACCCTCCTCCAATCCTGATGCCACATTCCTCCTCGTAGAGCTCAGCCTCCCAGATAATCTATTCCGCATATTGCTTACTAAGAATTTGTCATTCTAAGCTCTTTCTAGGGCACTCTGGTGGCCTCATGATAAGAAGCTGTGCTGTCATCCCAAAGGCACACGGTTCAAATCCACCAGGAGTTCTGTGGGAGAAAGATAGGCAATCTCTTCCTGTGCCAATCATGGCTTCCAAAAACCTGCCGGAGGCTCAACCAGGACTCTGTTCTCACTCATCTGCACTTAACAACGGGCTCTTCCAGGGAGCTTTGATAGTGCAGTTGGTTAGAAAACAGGCTGCTACTGTTGTAAAGCAGGACTGACCTCGGGGTTGGGAGGAGGCTGAGAAGAATGGGTTCAATAATGTATACTACACTGAAACACACGAGGGAGAAAACTGTTTAAGAGGGAAAATTATTAAGTATTTTTTTTTGTCATGACAGGAGTCCAGAGCGAAGGCTATAGAGTGGAGTGAACCTGGGGGGAGGGATTGTAAAACAACAAAAGAATTTTTCTTTTACTTTTCCAAGAGGGTAGTGTACTAGGGGGAAGGGTTAGGAGGGGAGAAAAGTACAACAATGAATGGATGGAAATCCAAAGTCTCTGTAAATTTTCATTGAAATTAATAATTTTTTTTTAAAAAAGAAATAGGCTGCTAAACAAAGGTTGATAGTTTGAACTCAGCAGTTAGTCTGTGGGAGAAAAATGAGGCAGTCTTCTCCCAGAAAGACTTAGAGCCCCAGAAACCCTGAGTGGCAATTTTATTACACCCTGCAGAGTCTCTACAAATTAATTTTGATTTGATAGTAGTGTGTTTAAATCTGAGTTTTGAAGCTCCTTCTTCACATACTCTACCTCATTTGTTCCTCACAACAAAGCTATGGAGTAGGTATTATTATCATCATCCCCATTTTACAGATGAGGA